AAAACATTGTAAATAAATAAATAAGTTTGACATTTGACAGACAGTTTCTAATGCTGGTCAAAGTTTAATTAATTATTGTTATTTATTTTTTATTCTGTTGGCAGCCAATGTTTTATGGATTACAAATCTAACAATACTTTTAATAATAGGTAGAAAAAAAAGTAAGTATTTGTCCACAGTTTTGAATTTTTCACTGAATAAATGAGACATTATACATTAAATCAGGGATGGGCAACTTTGACAGTGATGAGGGCCAGCACTTTTTTTCCTTTATACCAAGGGGCCAGATTACTAATCCACATCTAAACACCTTATTCTGTTGGCAGCCAATGTTTTATGGATTACAAATCTAACAATACTTTTAATAATAGGTAGGAAAAAAAGTAAGTATTTGTCCACAGTTTTGAATTTTTCACTGAATAAATGAGACATTATACATTAAATCAGGGATGGGCAACTTTGACAGTGATGAGGGCCAGCACTTTTTCTCCTTTATACCAAGGGGCCAGATTACTAATCCACATCTAAACACCTTTTACTTTTACAGAGTCCACTAGTTTGTTACTTTAACTGAGTAGCAGTACAACCAAAACACACCAGCTGTGAGAATGCATTTAGGAATATTTTGTGACAATCTGCGCTGCAGCTAAATTGTTGCATAATTTAATTTGCTCTCATTTAATGCAAGCCTTACGCTTTGTAGTTTGGTGGAGTAACTGGACTGAGGGTACGATGGAGAACTTGAACTGGACTTTAGAGATACACTGCCTATGATGAACAAAAATCTTTTACAGCTCTTCAAGCCCTATTCAAGCCCAACAGGCAATTTAAAGGTAGCATTTGAGGATGTAAAATTTGATTTAACTTTGCACAGATGTGGTTAAGATAACACATCATGTTTAAGTGTTGCAGTTTTTCATATACTACTGAGAGAGCAGTCAAAATATTTTTCAAAGGGCCACACTTCCTTTTTCTCTCGGTTGTTCATCATGGTCTTATGCTTAGATAGGTTGTTCCTCAATTTGACAGGAAAAGATCATAAAGTTCAGTTCAAGTCAGTCCCGATTTTTAGAGAATATTTGAACAAGAGAGGAAAATGAAGCTGATTTTCTTTCTTCTTGTCCTCTTGAAAAGCGGTGAGAATGGTATTGTTTTTCTGTTTTTAAGATTAAGGAGCTAAATCTGACATTTAACTGAAACCATCTCTAGGATTATATGTAATTCTCTATTTAAATTCAATAGCAGACATTTGACCTATTTTAACTGAATTGAAAACATTTTGTGGGTTAACCTTAATACTTTTATTGGTACTTAAATGTATTTGTATGATTTTGATAATAAAATAATTGTATGCTTATCATAATAACACTACAAATTAAACTCAATATTTTAAGCAGCAATAAAAGATGGGATTGTCTATCATCTCAATCATCTTTAATGTTCAGTAAATGTTTTACAGGAATGAATTCAACAGAAGGACTCCGTGTGCTTTATTCATCAGAGAGAATTATTTTAAAATATTTCTTTCCACCATCCCTTCAAAGTCATGAAAAATCTTGCTGTAAGCTTAATCAGTCAGGGTGCGTCCTCTTTGTGAATAATAGAGGACAATTTGCCTCCATGTTTCGAGGAAGAATATTCGTCACAAATAACAATGGAGAATTTGAAGTAATAATTACAGATCTGAGTGTAGTGGATGCTGGCATATACGGATGTGGTTTCAGTGGGTTCCCTCACACATATGAGTATGTGGAAATTACCGTTTCTGGTAAGATTTTCTGTTACTAAATACTTTTATAGAATGCGTTACTTTAATAGAAACATTCATTAATTATGGTTTAAGAAATATTTTGTAATCATGCATAATCAGTCTTATATGAACTATATGTTGGTCATACCCATTTGGAGGTTGTATTTCTGTAATTATAACAGTTTGTAAACTAATTAATAATAAGAATAAGAACAATAATAATCCAATTAATCTAAAAATAAAAATGTAAAAAAAACAATTGCATTTTCCATAAGTAGATCCAAGTGGAGTAAACACAGCTTCTCTCTCGACAAAATCCAACATTAAAACAGCAGTCTGGCCGTCGTCTTCTCCCTCTGCACCCATTGTTTCTGAGAATAACGCAGAGACACACAGGTAAATTTTGTCACAAATATGAACCCCTTACAATTCCAACTTTTAACAGTTATTAATCTGTGTAACACAATACGTTAAGCAGTGACAGCTGGAGAATATCCTACAATCTAGCTGCTGTTTTCAGCATTCTGGTGTTTGCTGTCATCTCAATGACACTGCTCGTGTATTGTCTAAAGACCAGGAAGAAAAAATCCACAGGTAGGTGGAAGGACAATGATTATTTTTAATCACCTAAGGATTTTTTTTAGCTGAGCACATTTTCTTTCTTTTTTTTTGCCCACAGATAAAAGTGAAATCTGTGGTTCTCCTAACGCCACCTTGGTAAGCAGTTTGTACAAACTGTATCTTCTCCACTGACTCATAACCACATGAATTCAGTATCTGAGCAAAGACATTACAAAACAGCTAAACATACAGCAGATATAAGACATTTAAATGTAGAGGCTCTTTATGAATTATATTCTTAATGAATAATACTCTGGGGTAAAATCAATTACAGCTTGTTTACAGCTTGTTCATAGTATGCTGATCTGTAATCAGCTTCATCATCTATAACAGGGAAAATCTGATTCTGCATTAGCGAACGTAGCTTTATATAGATAGATGGATGGATGGTTTCTGAAATGTCATCAAACCCTGTCTGCTCAACATCTCTCCACAGGAGCAGGACGGCATTATCTACTCTATGGTGGAGTTTAAGCCCCACCAGGATCCATCTGAACTTTATGCCAATTTGCAGATACACAGCCCAAAAGACGCTAATGCTTCTTCAAGCTGTACAGTCACAGTAAAGGAAACCGTAGAATATTCCACTATTATGAGAGCATCAGCATAAACATTTGCAATGTTTGTGTTCAATGTATTCATTGCTATGATTTCATTGATATGGTTTGCTTGAGGAATTTCTTTCTTACAAGATTTTTTAAAATATGTTTTTAATGCAACATTGTATTGATACTGTAGTAATTATTTTATTCTTGAAAATGTCATTATGATGATTAATGCCTGAAAAATTCTATATAGTAAAAGTTACTCTTTACTCTTAAACAATTTGGGTAGTTGACTCATGTGGGTGTTTGACTTAGAAAGACAGAAACATACAGGATGACAATTTGTGATGCAATAATTATAATTGCAATAGTTTTATTTTGGATGAACAAAGAACCTTTCAATCATGAATCTCTATTTAGAATGTCGAAATCTGTCGAAATCGGTTTTTGCAATCCTTAGTACTTCTTTAGGCAGCAAAATGTAGGCCCATCAGAATCTAGAAATAGTCTTTGAGCGAGGCAACAGAAACATATGTGGTAACGCATGTCATATGTGATGTATTATGTTAGTATCGAATAGGATTTAAGGGATACTGGGATAATTAAGGACACTCAAATGAATCAAGACTACCAGTTTACATAAACCATACCAATAAATTCAGAAATGACATTTTATGGCACCCTTGCTTTGTCTTCATCCAGGTCCTAGGTAGGCAGTTTGTTGACCTGTCCATGTTGATCTCAGAGATGAAGAGAATCCATTGCATTTACTTCAGAGTTCAGAGGAACAATCTTTCATGTAATGTTTCTCAATTCTATTAACTGAAACTAGATTGAAAAAAAGATTGAACTGGTCATACAGAACAGTTATAGACTGTTAAATAGAAGTGAAACTTAAAAAAGGGGGATCAAATAGTCATCTTTTCTTCATACATTGTTAAATATAAATTGACTGTTGCGTGCTAATTTAATATTGACCACCATTCTTCCTGTTCTTGTTGTTACACTTCTATTTTACATTTCCACATAAACCAAATGTTTTATACTGTATATTCTAATGAATATAATTTCCCATTTTGACTAAAAATTTGACAAAAATATATATTTTTAAATATTTTTAGGGGCATATATTTTTTTCTTCAATATTTTGTTTTCATTAGTATCTTGCAAAATCAAACTGATGATTTTTCAAGGTTGGTTTACAAACAGTTGTGTTGACACCCTAATGCATGGTAAAAGATGATCATGTATTTTAGTTTTAATATTTTATTGATGTTTTTATAGACATTTTCCAAATTTATTAGGAATATTACAATATTATGGCATTTTATGCCATTTTTACAATTATTTTGCTGTCTTTACTGGACAAATATAGTATTCATAGAAATACCTTTTTTAGATATCAGATATTTAATCTAATGAAACACGTATAGTTTGCTTATAATCTTAAATTATATGATCCCATTTGATCTCAGTCTA